GGATTCCACGGCCACGGTTTTAATTGCCGGTTTCGGTCGAATTCAATCGACGCTCGCCCCCACGGGAATCAATCGTGTCCCTGGAATCCGGGGGGAATGCTCGTATAATTACTGAAATATGATCGTCACGCTTGTTAATAACAATTCGCCATCAGAGTTCGAGGCATAAAATGCATGTGCAACTTTCAGATCTTTGGAGGAGCAACATTTTCAGTTATTCAGGAATATTGACTTTTAAAGATTCGATGAATACGAGGTTCAGAATCATATTTAAGGATCTGGACCTTGAGATACAGTGTCAAGGATGATATTCTGAGAAAGTTTTCCTTATGCATGTACTAGTCATTTGGGTTTACTTGAGGAGGTACGGCAAGGTCGCCTTAACTGAGCGATCAGTTACCGCGGGAGGTGGATTTAAGTCCAACGTTCCGCGATTATGATTGATGTCGTAGTTTATTATACATGTATACATATAGTGTACTATACACAAATATATGTTGTATTATCAAGATATTTTGAGTACAAATTTTATATTAACGAAGATCGTTTCATTATTCTCCTTATAGACTTACTCTTCGAAACCAATCTCACGAACTGATAATCGGTGTTCATTTACTGAGGGATTTTAGCGTTTAAGCCATTCGCAAAAGTGTACCACTGCATTATGTGGCAAAATTACACATATGTATACATATATGAGTTTGATAGTATTAGCTGTATTATGTTTATGCTCTTTCGCACGATTAATACAGGGACAATTGATGAACGAACGCCACGCGTTCTATCGTCACGTGCAGTTAACGAAATAAGTACTTAAAAGAAGAGAATTCATTCACAAAAAGATACACATATTCCTAGTAAACAATGGTATCATAAATCGTGGCAAGAGCCGTAACCTATGATTCGTGTAGGTATCTTTCTCCGCTCATAATTATCGGACCATTACATTTAATTGTACCAAAATAACATGCAATCTCGGGTATATTCTTTTTTGCGTTACGTAAATTGGCGACGCAACGTCTCCCGTGTAATCAAGATTGATTTAGATCGCACTTTGTAATTACGAATCGGTCCCCGCCACGAAAGCGGAGCGTTCAGTGTCTCCTCTCTCGCGGTCTCTCGTCTTTTTCGTCTTCTCTTGCGCCTTGTACCTCGGCTTTTGTACTCTGACAATGCTTTTAATTACCCGCTCTACAGTCCACGGAACGATCCGGACCAGATCGTTTCGCTGATTGGTGTCTGGCCCGATGAAACTTTATTACGAGACGTAATTATCCTGATAAAATATTCTTCGTCGCACGGCAGGTAATTGCTTCTAATTAAGCCGACGCGCGGTGATCAGACACGCGGTATGATAATTAACGAATTACTGCGTGATTATGTAAACGAATATTTTTCTGTTAAAATAATTGCGGATTCGTGGAACGTGGTTTCCTTCGGTTTTCTTCTCTTTTTTTTTGTA